ATTATATTATATTATATTATATAACTGGGCTACACTTCGCCGTTAGTCAAAATATCGATGAAGTCTTGAAATATTACAATGGTGCAGTCCGGTTCAAGCGGGCTTCTCATTCCACTAACCGAAGGAGCCAATGCTAAATTGAATGCTAATCTTGGTTCTAGTAAGTTGTGACTTAGAAGAATGCAGAATGCCAGTAAGAAGAACACACGAACGAATGATATGGAAACGGAGTGTTTACGAAGACCTATGAGTGGAGTCGGTAAATAGTGACCCCATTTAAAGAAACTGGACAGCAGGTTGAGATGCGTCAAATCAAATCTGTCACACGTTTGCTTAGGGGAGATAGATGAGCGCTGAGCCACCCCTTGATATCCTCACTGCTGGAGAGTATCCTATACAAAACGTGGACTTACAATTTGCTCCCTGTTAGCCAAGTGTAATCTGAGGATTCTGTCACCCTCCTGATAACCGTCCGAGTCCAGTCGTTCAGCTGCAACACACTTCCGGTGCCTACATGCCACGCCACCCGAAGGAAGCACGAGGGCTGGGATACCACCAGGTTGCCCAAGCCTAGACACGGGAAGTCGAGAGGCAGAGGTCGGATTCGAACCGTGGACCTTTCGCTCAATAGATTCGCTCTGTAACTACCTGAGACATTTCGCAAGATCTACATTCCCCAGTCGAAGAGTCCTATAGGTCTCCAGCACCCAACCACTTTGTCGTCAGTCCGTGGACGTACTCTGTCCGTGAAAAATGACCGTAAGATGCTTAGTCTACGAAACACCTTGTTGCCAGATTGTACGCCCTCCGCCCAACCAACACATGGCATTTGAATTTCACCCCAGTCTGTCTTGTGTATACTTAGTGTTTAACCAGCACATCGAATGAAGCACATTTCTAGTGGTCAGTCATCAGACAAGAAAAAAGTCAACCAAATAAACCAGCCCAGGATTGCGAAGAGTAGCACTCCGAATCCAGCAGCGCTCCCACAGACGCGGTGGCAAACAACCGGAACTATCCGTCAAAATTAGTTTGTCCAACTTCAAAGTGCACGTCACATTTCTATTTAAAATCTCACTACACCGACAGCTTTTTCTGCACTAAACATCCCGTCAGACCTGAATGTACAGTCATGTACGACATTGTTTACATTGGATGTTTTAGCCAATAAACTTTGCTAGCCACAACTGACCACAGTGTGGTTACACGGTTAGAAATGATCAGGACAATGCAGGCACACCCTGCACTTACAGATTGGAATAAACTAGAAACCAAACGAAGTATTGTAAAACGGCACTTAGATTTGGTGGCAATCAGGATTTTTGGTTGATTAGACATGTGAACCGAGTCGTAATCATGGTGAATATCCAGCAAACAATGCTATCTGAGTTCGTTGGTGAAAACCTCAGCTACAGCCCTCGATAGACGAAGATATTTGCATGCGATTGAAACGATGAAAACACGGTTTGGGTTTCAGTGCCGGATCCAAAAACAGGCCAGAGTCGAACGACTTGTGATGGCCTCCACTGTAGAACCCGATTTTCGATAAGCTGACCAGCATGCATCTGAATCTTGTTGGACGAAATCGGATCCTGACAATGGTATGCTCCAATTCAATTTCGAAAGTGCAGGTGTGTACGCCGCCGGCCGATAGTTTAGTTTGTTTCTTTGTGTCGACAACCCAGTAACATTCTACAGGTGAAATACCGGACAGAGATAAAACTAGTTTTGGAAGCGAACAGGTTCGTTGGATTCCAGCTGGAATAAAGTTTTAAACACAGTGTCTGTCGGATCGACTCTCACCGATGGGTGTTACAGATGCACTCAAAAGTGTGACGTATCCATCACTTTTGTGAATGGGCGATTGAGCTTCCTTAGATTGAGACTTTTTTGAAAAGAACTGAACCGATTACCACAGAACTGCTAAAGAGGTATCTGTCTAGCATGACGGTGTTTGCCGTCAAATGCGGTGCCTACCGAACTTCAGCCCTTACGGGGCTGTTTGCAGCTGCTTGTCTCATTGCATGTACACGCTCATCTGTGTGGCATCCTACAACAAGATGGAAG